TGTCATCTTTACACTGTCTGGATGCTGATGACATGCATCAATGTGTGGCAGTGATCTAGGATTCTGGGTTTTCAGAATCTATGTATGTGTGCGTGCGCACATGTGCTTTCTGTTTTGGAACAGCTCTATTTCATTTTCACAAAAAAAAAGTATTTTATTTTTTAACCTTTTTAATGAAGTTCATATTAGGAGCCAAAGTTGCACTGTTAGCAACTGTCTTAATATTTTGTTGCCCTCATGTTAGGATAAATTTTGCAAGCCCTAATTACACATCAACAAATGGTTGGGTAATTCATAAAACATGTGCCGGTGTAACAGTGCTCTAAAGACTTTACAGTATGTGGGCTGAGGTGTAGCTCAGTGGTGCAGCATTTGCTTAGCACACACAAGGCCCTGGGATCCATCCCCATTACCACACATACACACACACACACACACACACACACACACACACACACAATAGAGTTTAAGGGATATGAACTGTCCTGTTTTCACACTCCATCTAATGAAAGGTTCATAGATGGTCTCCTTTTGATCTACTTAAATTAGCCAATGTTTTTACCATTGATATTTACAAATTCCAAGCTTGTGACACCATAATTTTATTGATTACTATTCAATAAAATATATATTTGATAATATTTGTTCAAACTTCTAAGTCATATTGAGCAGAAAATTCATGGTACAGAAACATTATATGTATTTATTTGGCATCTTTGTAAAAAAGGAAGAGAAAGAAAGATTCCTATTTTTACTTATATTCACATAAAAAAATTTCAAGAAAGATGAACAAGAAATGAGTAATGTGGTTAACAGGGTGGAGTGGAAAGCTAGGATGGGGGGGCTTTAGTTTAAATATATTTAAACATATGTACTTTTTAACCCTATTGCATTATCTATTCAAAATTTTACATTAAAAATAAAAATGTATGACGAATTTGTATATCCTAAGCATTGTTACAGGTATTAGGAATATAGCAGTAACCAAAACTGACCCAAAACAAAAAATTTTTTTAACTTAGTTTTTGGTACCAGGGATCAAACTTGGGTCCTTGCATTTGTGAGGCAGGCAGCGGAACCACTGAGCTAAATCCCTGGCCTGACCTAAAATTTTACGCCTGCATACAGCTTACATTCTAGTGAGAAGAAACATATATTAACCAAATAACTAAACATATATAGTACATCGGGTAATTTTAAGTGCTGCAAAGAAAAATAAAGCACAGAAGAAAGGAGGAGAATGGTCACAATTTGTAAAAGGATTAGTCTGTGATCAAAGCGAGTTTCTTTGAGAAAAACCTGGAATAAAGACCTGCAAGAAGGTGGAAGAGCTAGTGGTGTGGTATCTGGAAGAAAGTGCTCCAGGTCATAGAAACAGCAAGGTCTGAGGCCTTCAAGTTAATAAAACTTGACATATTCATGAAACAGCTATGTCAGTGTGACTAAAATAGAGAAAAGTGGAAGAGGAATAAAAGATAGTACTAAGAGGCAGCAGAGGCAGCTTATCAGACTTCTGGGAAATTGTCAGGATTTTGGCTTTCACCCTCAATGAGAGGGAAAGCCAATGGAGGGTTCTGAGGTCAGGAATAACTTTCATTTTAATAGATCTTGTTTGAGAACAGACTGGGGGCAGATTGTGGGGAGGGTATGGGTAGACAAACCTGTTAGATCCAGGCAAACAATAATAGTGGTTTGACCAGATTATGAATATATTTTTACAATAGCCAAAAGTATTTACTGAAAGACTGGACATGGAATACAAAAGAAAGAAGACAATCTAGGATGATTTCAAGGTTTTTGTCCAAAGAAACGGAGCTGTAATTTTCTAATCAAAGAACACAGGCCCTGGGTCAGAGCTAGAGCATCAGAAACTCAGTTTTGAAAATATATACTTTAAATTACCTACTAGACTCAAAGGGGGATTGGGACTAGGCAACTGGATGTAGGAATGTGAGTTCAGAGGAAGGGTCAGTAAATGATATTTAAATATGAGATTTAGGAAATCAACAAATTGAATCATATAGAGTTCTTACTCTGAGATATTCAAGCTGGTTGGTATAACAGGAGAGGATATGGGGTTGAGGATATGGCTCAGTAGGAGAGTGCTATTCTAGCATGCAAGGTCCTGAGATAGATCCCTAGCCCAGAAGAAAGGAAGGAAGGGAAATGAAGGGAAGGGGGGAAGTGGGTAGGAGAGAAGGGAGGAAGGAAAGGAGGGAGGGAGGGGTGATTTTACAAAAATTCCAAGTTCAAGAGGGAACCAGAACTAGAACCTAGATCCCTGTTCCTTAACACATTCATTGTTCTCTGGGGATCTAATAACTGATATTTCATGTGAACTACCTTAAATGTAGACAATTTCCTAAGAGCACCAACAATTTCACACATACTCTCTTGAGATTTGCTTTAGATTCAGCTAAAATACTAAGAGAAAGTCTTCCCAGTCTTTCCTATGATAGTTAAAAGTTAGAGCCCAACAAAATTCATGAATAGATTTTATTCCATGATATTTCAGAGCAGAAGGAAGTCTGAAAAATTATCAGTTCTCCCATGTTAATGACAAATTAATCAAAGATCACAAGAGGGGCTAAGTGACCTACCCAAGAGGCTTCTGAGTGAGTGAATAAGTGAATGAGTGAGTGAGTGAGTGAATACCACTACCAGATCCTGGAATTCTGTGGTCTGTCACTACCTCTTCCCTAACTGTGTTAAGGATCATTTCATTGAACCAACTTCAAGAAACTGTCTATAATAACTTCTAAGATGTAAGTTGAGTCAGATGAGACAAAAATTTTTAAAAAGTTACTTTGCTTTCACTTTACTTTATGATCATCAACCAGTCATATAACTATTCTCTTTTTAGAAGATATTAACAACTAACATTACAGCTTTTGTAACTGTTATCATTTTTCAAATTACTAAAATATGCCAAGTACTATTTACTACTAATAGAGGTAACAATGCAGCAAGGACACAGTTTGATTAAGAAAATCAAAGACTCATTATAGAGAAACACATTAAAAATTTAAAATAGTCCAGTACTGTCATATCCTGTTAGTGATATAACCAATTAGTGAGCAACAGACTCAAAGTTATTAAGGACTACAAAATCACTTTTGCCCTTATACCATATAGTGACCAAACTGTTATATTTTCCTTCTGGATGCATAAGAAGATTACATTTCTCAGTCTCTTTTTCATCTAAAAAGGATAACGCAACAAATTTACATCCAGTGGAATGTCACAGAACTGATATGGACCATTTCCCCCTAAAAATCTTCCAAATAATCCCTCCTCTCTTGCCATCCCAGAGGCCATATAGCACCATCCCAAAATAGAAAGAACCTGAGTCACTACTTAGAGGAGAATCTCCAAGGTAGTACCTGATAAAGAACATCTACACTAGACTAAGTGTGAGAAGTTTATGTTAAGTCATAAGATTTGTGGCATCTGGGGCAGGGGATTTAGCTCAGTGGTTCCGGTGCCTGCCTTGCAAGCACAAGGTCCCAAGTTCGATTCCCAGTACCAAAAAAACAAAACAAAACAAAACAAAGATTTGTAGCATCTGTTATAGTAGTTGGCATTAATCATTCAGATTTGCATAATTGTTTTAAACTATGCAATGGTTAGAGTGAAAAATAAGTGAAATAAAATTACATGAAGATGGGAGAATTTCAGATTCTTTGTTCATACAATTATTTTTAAACTATTGTATTTACTATGGGGGGTTTCCAGTCTATACACTTCTTGATTGCTTTTTCAGTATCAGCATATATTGATAACAAAAATTAAAAACATTAACGTTGTTAAACAACCACTGCTTTAGGGCTGGGGATGTGGCTCAGTGGTAAGGCACTTTTCCTAACAGATCCAAGGCCCTGGATTTGATTCCCAGCACTACATACAAAAAAAATTAAATAAATATAAAATAATTAAACAATCACTGCTTTAATAAAGGTGCTTTAATAATTTTAAAACTAAAAACAAATGTCACTTCAATTTTTCATCTCTGCCATAGGACAAAACTCAAATATGTCCTCAATACCTCTAAAATAATGTTACAGTTCTTTAATCACAGGTCTTTACTTACATCCTACCAAGCACTATCATATTATTTCTGTTGATCCTCATAAAAATCTATCTTCCCTGTTTGCTAAGAAATCTATCTCTACAAAGTGAGGCTCAAAAAACCATGACTTTATCCAAAGTCACAGAGCTAGTAACTAGCTAGTAAGTAGTCATAAAGCTGGTAAATAGCTGAGCTAGAACTACTGTCAATGTACTTTTCTTTTTTTTTTTTTTGGTACCAGGGATCAAACTCAGGTCCTTGCACTTGCGCAGCAGACGACAAAACCACTGAGCTAAATCCCCGGCAGTCAATGTTCTTTTCAATTCTAATTCAATGTTCCCATCATTTACCATGCTTCCTTGCTTATATCATCCCATGTAAGTCAACTGATTATATACTTTGCCTTTCATCCAATATGCATTCCAAAGATTGTGATTCTAAATCAAATTTAGTCTATCCTTTAAATCATCACTCATGAAAGGATCCATAGTATAATGTATGAAACTGAATCAGAAGAAACCATGTTGTTCTTCTGAAAAATGACCCATACACACAAGGAATTAAAGTTATGAAAAGATACAAACTAGGTCCCTATATTACTATAATATTGAAGAAAATAATTACATTTTAAAGAAAAGAAAAATTAGTACAAGATACCAGACTCAAATTATCAATCATAAATGCTAGCTTTAGAATATTAACCACTATTATTCACAAAAAAATTGACAAATTATCAATGGGAGGCCCAGGTACCTGAAAGAACTATCCATTAGCTATGTTTCTTTAATAGACACAATAGCTCAAGAGAGATTTTCAGACACCCTATTTAACTTTCCAATAAGCAGTAACAGTAGGAGGTAGTAACAATTGCTTGTGTTACCAAAGAATAAAAATGAGATGTAACAGTCTGTGAATTCTCACATTCCCTTACCTTTATATATCTTTTCAGCATTACACAAGTGAAGTGTGAAGTAGGTATCAAGGAGCTGATGTCCATTTCTATTAACAATGTTCCGAGCAGCTATATTCCGAAGATGTCGAAGACGTCGCTAAAAATAACAGAGAGGGGCATTCAGCTTTTTACTCCTATAAAATGTTCTGAACATCACAGTTCAAAATTGAAATGCAATAGGTTGTCTCAGTCATTTATTGTTGAGCCAGCAACCATAACAGTCTCTTTATTTATGCCTCAGCATCCTCTGTTAAATAGGAATTATATCTGCCCTGCCTCATTTACAGAGTAGTTCCAAGTATGAAATGTAAAGATATGAAATATATTTGAAAAGTATAAATGTTACAGGAGAGCTATACACCTCCAAATGAACACTAGCATTCCCTAGAACATAAACCACCTAGTAACTTGCTTTTTTCTGCAGGATTCCAGTAGACATGCAAAGTCCATCTCATACCAATAGAAATTCAAATTACAAACACATATCCCTGTTGCTGGTTGAGTCTAGATACCAGATCATTTGTACATCCAGCAAAAAGTCCAAACCCAAAAAATAAAATAGGAACTTACTGTACTCCATCCAGCCAACAACTCTACTATTATGAGCTTAAATTCTCACTTCACCACCAGCCAATGAGTCTCCATTTCCTAATCACATCTCCTTCCTAATAATTTCTCCAACCAGGATGCTTAGAGTATTTGGAGTCACAAGTGTTAAAAATACAAAAGCTCCACAGGCAACAGCAGAAATCAACAAAAGTACAAGATATGTCTATGGATAGCCAAATTCATATCAAAAAGAGAAAATGTTGTAAAATTTGAAGTCTAGACACATCAAATCCATCACCCCAAGCTAGTTCCCCATGGCAGATAATTGTCTTCAGAGACTTTAAAATAGAAACCAAGTAGGGGAAGGAAGTGGGAGGGCTAGGGGAAAGCATAGAAGGGAATGGGATTAATATGAGAAAATGGAAAAATAGAAACAAAATCTTTGTAAATAGGGAGGACTGGAGGGGTTGAAGGGAGGGCTGGGCAAGGGTGAAAAATAAGAACCAAGAGAGACTATGTAAAGGTGCAAATTTCCAATGATGAATGTCATTATATTGTATACCTAAAATGTACCAATGATTAGAATGAATAATGGATAATGTAAAATAGGAAGAAAAGGTCCAAAGGGGTAGGGGTAGTGGGAGGGCCAGGGGAAAGGAAAGAAGGGAAAGGAAAAAATGCTGAGAAATGGAAATAAAGTCTTTGTAAATAGGGAAGAGTGGAGGGCGTGAAGGGAGGGCTAGGAATGGGGAAAAAATAAGAACCAAGATGCATTATATAAAGGTACAATTCCCAATGAGAAATGTAATTGTATTGTATACCTACAATATACCAATAAAAGAATTTAATAAAAAAAAAAAAAAAAAAAACCAAGTGCCTAGTTTTAAAATATTCTTAAAGCTCTCCTTTTAGGCTAAAAGCCAGTTGATTTTCTTAAGGTATATCCATCTGCAATTACGTGTACAGTAGCCAGAAGAGCCCAGCTCTTTTTTCCATGCCACATACCAATCCAATACTTTCTCCCAAACTAGAGACTAAGGTTTGTTGAGAGAGAAGGTTATTGTCTAATAAATTTGCTTAATCCTCTAAGTATAAAAGCTCCAAATACAAGTTCCCTAGAGCTTATTCTGAAATATTAATTTTTCTACAATCTGCCAGTGGTTTCTATTTCATAACCTGGATTGCAACCATTTTCTCTTGCCATATGCTTTTCATTAGCCCTTTCAGTCAAAATTTTAAACTGACAAGAACCACTAATCAATACATAAAAATCACATTTAATTTGCTCTATGATTACAAGGTGGGTCCTCTCTTCAAAGACCTGAAAACTTTTCAAACTTCGCATCACTGCTTTCAAAGCTTCTGAAGTCTGAATTCCTTAAGACTCATAAAAAAGACCATGCACTGCCCTTCCTCTACACTTGCTCCTGCTGCCCCTCAAGCTACAATACTATCCTTCTCTATTCCTTTAAGGAGATTCTATCCATACATCTAAGTTTAGGAGAGAAGATTCCTCCTTGATTCTCCAACTAAAATTATTTGTTTCCTTTATTAGAATAAATTTTTTAAAATTTGCTTCTGTCTCTACTATGCAGTCAATTCTGCCTTGAATACATAGTTGTTTACAGTTATTTTCCTTATTAATCAGGAAAAAAACTTGATGATACACTATTACTATCACTGTACTGTTAACATCTATTAAATGCTTAGCATGTACCATACACTGTGTTAAATACTTCATACATGTGATCATTTAATTCTCATAGTCCTCTTAACCCTATGGGGTTAGGTACTACTTATTGTCATTATCCATTTCATTATCCCAACATTTCTAGGTAACCAAATGCAAACAAAAAACATATAATAATTAATATATGAGAGAGGGTATCTCAAAAGAAGAAGAGAAAGAAACAAAGTTGCAAGGTTATACTTATACTGTGTAGGTGTTTATATATCTCTACTAGCATACTATATAAATTTAATATATACAATTTGGTCTTTATACTCCTCTCTTGCTACATAGGACAGAGCAATGACCTATCCTTCAACTGAAGAGAATTTTATGACAAATGCACTCATAATAGAACTGACAAAGCAATAGATAGGACTTGGACGGCAGCTGAATATGTAATGAATGCGTGGATATTACTAAAGAGATCTCTGCATTATATAGGAAGTTAGTGCAACCATCTCCACGGTATCTTCCAATTCCCAAACTCTAGGTGAATCCACAGATAATCCACAGATGTGGATAAAACAACTGACAACATCAGAGCACTTTATAAGATTGCTTACAAAAAAAAAATCCTCACCCACAAATTAACCAATTACACTTAAAGCACTGACTATGGACTGTGTAATTTTCCTTATTTTACTCATTTCAAAAACATTAGGTAAGTATTCTCATTACACCATAATTAATTAAAATACTGGATGCTCCCATAAGCTAGAAAAGGAAATAAATTATGGTAAGTGACTGATGTGATCTTAGTGAAAAGTAAGCCTTTTTGTGTCCTATATTGTGGCTTCCCTGATAACATTCATTCCACCTATACCAAAAAAGCTACTTTTTAATTTTTTTCAAAAATGTTAACCTATAATAAAACATGACTAAAAATTATTTCATCCAATTATAATTAAGAGTTAAAAATAAATGAGTTGCTAGGACAAAAATGTTCATTAGTTTATTGTTCTTCATAGGAGCTTTCAACACTGAGTTGCTTAGCCTTGCATGTTGGCACACCGCTTTAAACCCAGGACTTGGGAGGGTGTGGCAGGAGGATCAACACAAATTTGAGGCTAGCCTAAGCTACATACAGTGAGTTCAAGGCCAGCCTGAACTGAACTGAACTACAAAGCCAGACCCTGTCTCAAAAAAAAAAGTTGACTTGCTTAAAAGTAAGTAAACATTGAGAACAGACTGGCCAGTAAATATGAGAAACAGCAAAGCAGGACAGAAGAAAAAAAAGGAAGGAAGAATATTGAGGTAGGGAAGAGATAGCAGTCTCCTTAAAGAGTGCCAATTTCAGGGGTCCAGCTTCAAAGTAGTTCACATAACTCTAACCAACATTGACAGGTAGGAAGAGTCACTCATTTCTTTGTTTCTAGTTAAACAATCTTTTGTCTTTCTTTTGCAGTGCTAGGGATTGAACCCAGGGCCTAAACACTCAGCTACATCCCCAGTACTTTTTATTTTTCATTTTGAGACAGAGTCTTGCTAAATGCCCAGGCAGGACTCAAATTAGCAATCCTCCTGCCTCAGCCTCCCAAGTGCTGGGATTACAGCCATGTATTACTGCACCCACCTTAATTTTTTACATCTAAACATTTATTAGGCATATAAATATGCATACGTGGACCAAGAGCAAATAATACTTAAATTCAAAAAATTACTTGAGCACAGCCACAAATATTTAGGTATAAATCTAACAAAATGTGTACAAGGCTTATACTAGAAAAATTACAAAATTCTGATTGATGAAAGATACCAAAGATCTCAAAAAGATAGCACAGATACTCTAAGTACATGGATGAGTAAATTAAATAAAAACTCAGACTAGCCAATGTAATATGAAGAAAGAACAAAGTCAGAGACCTGATACTGCTATAAAGTGACAGTAAGCAACACAGTATGTTATTGGTGAAAGGAGACAAATAGATCAATGGAACAGAATAGAGAGTCTAGAAATAGACCCAAACAAATATAGTCAACTATTTTTTTATGAAGGCTCAAAGGCGATTCACAGAACAAAGTCTTTCAACAAATGGCACTGGAACTGGGTATACACAAAATAAAAATGACTCGACACAAATCTTACATCTTTCACAAAAATTAACTAAAAATATTACAGACATCAATGTAAAATGCAAAACTGTAAAATTCCTAGAAGATAACAGAAGAGAAAATCTAGGTGACCTTGAGTTTGGCAATGACTTTTTAGATTCAATGCCAAATGAATTGATCCACGAAAGAAGCTACTAAGTTGGACTTCACTAAAATTTAAAACTTGGCTTGACTTAGGCTTTACAATGGTCCTTAATGGTCTGGAACATTTAACGGAATCTGATGTCCACTCTCCAGATGGTGGGAGAACACAAAGCACATCAATCTAAGAACTGACCTAAGAGCTGAAACTGAGGTTAAGTCTCAATGGTGCTGCTGAACTACAGGAAATCTTCAGGACTCACACAGCTTCAACTGTTCTAGAGCCTAAGGTTCACTCTATGGTATTTCATGGGCTGCCATCTAACGTAAATTTTTTTGGATTTTCACTAAATAAAATTAAATTCAAGGTCATCTCTTCAAATGATCCATCTATAGATAGTTAAAATCACTTATGTGTTAAAAACTGACTCAATATCAAGAAAGTAAAACACTCATTAATTAAAAATTACACAGACTTTGGAAATACTCTTTAAGATAACGGTCTATAAAGTTTTCTAAAATAGAAATCTCCTTAAACTTTTTCAAATGTTCTACTCTATGTTTTGATAGTTATAAAATGATCTTTGTATGTCATTCGATGGTAGTGGCTTTAGAGAGCTGAA